GAGTAAGTTAAGTCTAGCATTGGCTGTAGTCTTCATGTTGAGTTAAGTTCATTAAGTCTTGTCTGGTTATGGTGAGAGTCGAAATAAAGCTAGTATGAGTGAGTCCATGTTTGAATCTTATGTGGCGTGTCTGGTTGAATAAATAAAACTCCCTTCTTGGTTATGTGAATGTGTCTGGGAATTCATTCTTCCACGTTTGTCTGGAACAGTCTGCACGTAACTATATGTTAAGTGTGTGCAGGAACTGCAAATTCAGCTGAAGGGATCATTGACTGGCTTAGGGGGAGAATGTTGTGAGCAAGACAGCAAGCCAGCCATTAATCACAGAATTTGAAGGAGAAAACGTGGGATACAAGGTTCTACAGAGGGAAAGAAATCGTGGAGTTGGTGGATGATTTGATTCGGCAAAGATACACACATCAGCAAAGATCCACGAAGCTCTTAAGGAAAGAATTTCAAGCAGCCTCTCTATGACTCTAACGGCTAGCTGTGAAGAAGTATAAAAGGATCAGAGTCAAGTAATTGAAGGTGCTTTTCGGGAAGATCTCGTTCAAGAGTACACAGTGAGGTGTAAGCAACGAGAGATAGGAAGAGCGGCTCTAAAACACAAGATCAGGATTGATAGTGATTTAGAGGTTGAGAAAAGTAGCTGGATAGCTGTGGGGAAAGACTTACTGGGATAAAAGGGTTATCTTGCCTGTAAGGGTTGGGTAGCTAAGCATAAGAGTGTATCTCTAAATCGAAGCAACAAACGCATCATACTTAGTGGATTGGCGAGAATCACACATCAGTGATATCTCGTCCGTGGATTAGTCAGAGTTGGGGATCATTTTACCCAGCTCTGGATACCACGTAAAAACGGGTTGTTGTCTTTGTTCATTCTTGTTACCTGTTTCTGTGATAGTCTTTGTTTGCAGGTCTCAGTGTTGCCAGAGAAACAGGGGACGTGAATCCATTTGGTTCCAAGTGAACAACACAAAAGTTGTTGTTAAAACGCACAGTTTTAACTTAAAGGTGGAGTTGAGCACTACTGCCGTGATAAGAGGCCTGAACTTCAGTGGGCCTAACTTAACTCAAGCCCAGGGTTCAAAGTTCATGTCGTTTTAGTATTTGGTTGATCTGAATTTCATTTCTTCAGTTCACTGGAGTTTTACCTTCACTGATCAAAGTCGAGAGTCGGGCTAGGGTTTGCAGGGAATTCCAATCGACGAAAAGTAGGAGGCATCTCGCGCTCGACGCCATTAGCAGCGACTTCACAGACTGATTCAGAATTTGAATATTAAATGGGTGGATATGTGAGTGGTTAATCCGAGGTTCAATATCAATCCATTCGTAAATAATATGAGCAGTAGTTTGTGGATGAAAGAGATGTGGGTGGATTGCGGATTGATAAATCTTCTATTTGCATTTAGTCGGTTTGGTGATGAGTGGATGGATTGTCGGACACCCCCAACGACTCGCATCATATTTTCACGTGACAAAAAGTTTTTTTTTTGTTTATACTATCAAATAGTCATCGTATTTCCTAACGGCACTACACAATGATCATCAACTTGTAAAGCGGTTAATAAATAAATTTTTAAATTGCTATTACGGGTTACTATGTTGGATAATATCCATTAGATATTGGGATGCATATTATGAACTATAATTATATCAAAGTCTAAAAATGTTTCAACTTTCTCTACACAATTACAATTGGTTGAACGAGTAATGAAAAATATGATGCAAATACTACATGGATCCCCAAGAGACAAAGTGGGAAGTTTTCTAAATTGCTAGACTCTTACTAATTTGTGAGAAACTTACTATAATTTTTAGTAAACTTTCTTAATGGCTAGTTGGAGAGCTACTTTTACGGGTTAATCCACAATTCAATCGTATCCATCTGCCATTCACTCAACCCAGCTCAAAGAAGAATGTGGATGGATAGCGGATCATAATTAACAAACTCGCTAGAAAGCGAGTGGGTTAATTTAAAACCAAAATCCACCCAACCCGCTCTTGTCCAACCCTACTTAATATTATAATTGCTACTTCGATCTTTTAGAAGTTAGAATTTATAGAGATGAACAACAACTAAAGAAAAGTGGGCTATTTCTAACAATTTAAGAGGCTCTATTTATTGTGTTTTCGTACCAACCCTGTTATGGTGCTCACAGGCATTTGACATTGTTGCATTTAGAGTTGAAGATCCACGATCGTTAGATGGATTTCGTCAAAATTGTCATCAAATGTATCCAGTGATCGTTGATCGTCTCAACAACACCAGTGTCTGTGAGCACAATCTCACATATAACTTAGATTAGGTTTGGTTAACCAGACCATTAAATATGAAAACCCAAAAATCAATTCATGCAAATTCCCAAAAATCAAATCCATAATTTTGGGAAGTCCAAATATGAAGTAAGAAAAGACAACCAGAAACATGACGATAGCAAAGATGTTTACTAGAGATAAGTTGGTGACAATGGTGTTTTGTTGATAAGTATTTACTTAATTACGGAATTTATCGGTTCCTTATTAATTTTTAGGTTTTAACTGAAATCAAAACCATTAGGATGTTCAACGCTTTAAAATCAAAACCAAACCCATTAATCTTTTTTATCAATTTAATTTAAGTTAAACTCGGAAAAACCAAATCCACTTAACAACCCTAATATAACTTGTGAGGAGGATACCAAAATCCATTTTTCGTACAACAAACAAATATTTTGCTTTTCAACGGCCAGAAAAGTGAGTAGGTGGATGCCATGCATCAAAACTTATTATTGTTCATTAAAAAAAAAAAACTTGTTATTGTCAAGAAAGTTTGAAAGGGATAGCACTTTGCATTTGGAGATAGGGAAGAGGCAAGGAAATAGTCATGGTCACTCACTGAGACTTCGTGCTCGTCAATTCGCCGGTTACTCATTGGTGGCCCGGCCGTATAATGACCGGTCTCGAAATTCTGGCTCCGTACCTGAAACCAATAATTTATAAAATGTATGAAGAAATTGATTTGGAATCAAACAACATGCACCATTAGTGATTTAAAGAGGTCTATAGTTTCACCATCAACTGTAAGCATACATGTTATCTTCTTTTGTTAAAGTCAAGCGTATGATGGAAACTTGGATTATATTTTGGTTTTTAGTATTCCTTTAGAGCTAAAATATAATCACGTGATTAACGGAGTTAATCCCATAAGAACTGCCCCCACCTTTATGTCAACCAAGTTATGGAAAATATGGATATATAAAAAAAATTGGATTGTCATAATACTTCAATTTCTTGCATTGTTAAGTTTTTCATGTTGTGCGACATGGTATAACAAAAGAAGCTTGCTTTAATTTTTGTATAAACTTTGAATCAATCTTATGGTGGTGTGTGAAAATATCATACATAGTGCGTAGAATGTCTATGATCGAACTGTGTACTGCAACTAATTCCTACATTTTGTAAATGATAATTGTAGACAATAAATATATTTTATATTTCTCTTAGAATATGAAAACATCCCGTGGTTATTTTGAAAATGATAATTGTAATTAATCGATTCTTTCTTTTTCTATGAATGAATTATTTCAATGCATTATTATTTAACTATATAAATAAAAAAAATTAAAATTATATTTATGTTCTAGAAAAAATCACCCCTAATTCCAACTTTTCGCTTTACTATTACTAATAATACCGTAACATAATCCTCCTCGTGAGTCAAATCTTGCTTGAATGACACAAATAATTAAGAATTCTCTTCATGAGCCATATAGTATTTTATTTAATGTAATTTTATGTAGTCCTCTAAATTCCACTAAAAAGTTATAAACCAAAAATAATAATTATCAGGCCCAGCTAGCCGTGAGGCTTGCCTTCCTGGCTTCCTCCTCCACATTCACACTACAAACTTTTTCATGGATCAATAAAAGCAAAATCTAATTACCGGAAAAAAAAAGGCAAAATCTGAACAGATTTTCTTTTCCATATGGACGTATCATCGCCATCTTTCCCACTCAACTAAACTATTCTATGTTAATGACCCAAAACTTGTACAACGTGTTTTTTTTTATAAAAACATTTTTAAAAAGTGTACACCATGCAAATTAATATTGCACATTTTATGTTAAACAACACGGGCGTGTAGGCGACAGAAAGTAAACTAGTTGTGTTTGAGATGATATCTTTTCATTGATGTATGTTGATTAGGGCTCGATCGATTTTGTATAGATAGCTCACGAATGCACACAAACACTATCATCAAGATGTTCATGTAAGTGCTATAACACATGGTGGTTGGTGAATGAAAGAGCTTTTTGTCTCTTAAATAGTACTACAATGTCGGTCAGTAATCCACTCGTCATAAATTTCAACCAATCGCGATATGTAAGGAGATTATTATCGTCTCAAACTGTTCATTTCCAATGCAGCTGGGATGCATCCACATGCAGCTAAAACATGACAATTAAGGTTGTTAGAGCATCCAAATCAATCTAATTGTGAAAACCATTACTCCTACTGTCACATTAACAATTTTCGGAATCGAGCTCATGTTAATCTCACCACTTATATCTAACCTATTGAAAACCCAAGGATCATATATATCCAGTTAAGCATCATGCCTCAGACCCAACAAACACATTTCAGACAATGACCGCTTGATCACAACTTTTATCAATGAACAACGACGTATTAATTAATGAATAAAAGTTGAGACGCCTGATCTAATTGTTGATAATAAAAAAAACCCTGACTGGTGGTTAATACAACCTTTAATACATAGCATGTGAAGAATTAACCCACCCAACTTATAATTATTTGAAGAAATCTAGCTAGCACCATAACCTTTCCTTATACACACATAGAACCATACATCTAATCTCAATCTCCCAATATTAATGGTCAACCGTCCATTCATATATTTCCTTCATTATTTATGTATATACTATAGTCCCACCAACGTGTTTCATGTCATCAACTTGGCCTCTCCTTTCCCTCGACCCCACTCCTTCATCTACAAGCTAACACTCTCCATCTTTAAAACACCAACAAATTCATTACACCCCATTTTCCATCTCTCTCAATCCACTCACCCTTTTCTCCGACCATCGTCGAAAAATACAACGAAATTCAGATCAGAGGTCTCCAGTCCGAATCCCGATCAGAACACATCCAATGGAACCACTCACTCTGTTCATCGGAATCATAGGGAATGTCATCTCCGTGCTCATGTTCCTCTCTCCTGCGTAAACACTCTTTTTTTATCTTCTTTTTTTTTCTTCTCTCGTCTTTCCCATTTTACCCCTCCTTTACTTCACGATTCTGACCGGTGTGGTATTGTGGTTTAGGGGGACATTTTGGAGAATTGTAAAGAACCGCTCGACGGAAGACTTCGAGGGCCTGCCTTACATTTGCACGCTGCTGAACGCTTCCTTGTGGACGTATTACGGCGTCATCAAGCCCGGAGCTTACTTGGTCGCCACCGTCAACGGCTTCGGCATCGTCGTCGAGATCGTCTACGTGGCGCTCTTCATCACCTACGCGCCCCGCAAGATGAAGGTATATATACGGTGTCGTTTCGACTTTCTCTGGTTACGGTCAGTATCGCCGTCGGTAATAGTCGGTTATCGACGGCGAGGTTTAACCGGCATATGCTAATTAAGTAACTCAACGTCAAGTTTTGTCTTCCTTCTCTTTCTTACTTGGCTCGGCCTACACTCAAAAGTAGAAGCAAGCTTTTAGGGTGGAGTGTAGTTTAGATCGATAAAATTTAAAAGCGAGACAATTTGGTTAGTTATTTCGTGTTTTTTTTTTTAAATGTTTCATTTATAAAGAGGTAATTCATATTTTTTACTCCTCTCCTGAAAAATTTCTTTCTTCAAATTTGTCCTTTCAATTTTTTTTTCCTGATAGAAATCAATTACTTTGGTTCGATTGCATCGAAAAGAGACGATCAGATAAATGAATTCATTACAATTTGTCATCTAATAACCTCTGAATCAATATAATTTCCCCTCAAAATACCAAACTGGCATAATTTCCCAAACCAGATCTATGTTGTGTTAAACGATTTTGTCGCAAATTAGTGTTTACCAAAGTGACTGCCCGATATACGAGGAACTTCAAACAGTCGTAATTTCGTGCTCGATTATTCGTTCGACGCAATCGAAAAAATACTAAAGGCGATAGGCATACATATAAGATACAAACGATATGGATTTGAGTACGATATATTCAGCAAGCATTGCACGTTTGTTGTGTTTGATTAATTATTACTAATGTTGTGAATGTGGGTTTTGCAGGTGAAGACGGGAACCCTAGTGGGGATTCTGAACGTAGGGTTTCTAGCGGCGGCGATGGTGGTGACATGGCTGGCGTTGGAAGGAGAAGCCAGAATCGACGCCATCGGGTTCATTAGCTCCGCCTTGAACATCGTCATGTACGGCTCACCGCTGGCGGCCATGGTAATTAACTAATTAATTGAACTTATTTATTTATTTATGAAATGATGATAAGTATAAATATATATATAGGCTTAAGTCTTTTCTTAGTTATTGACCTGATTAGTGTGATCTCAGTTTCCAGTTATCGCTATAATTTGTGCTCCCCGGCAGCAAGTGGTAGGAGAAAATTAATTAAGTTTTGTGGGGGAGAGCTAACTAATCCATTTGTATAGCAACAAGTTGACCACCATGACACTGCAGAATAGATTAACAATACTAATTAGCAACATAAGGGTGGATCAAGTGGTCTGACAGGGGGATAATTAGCAGGGTTTATTTTTCATAACTTACGATTAGAGGGCGGTGCCAGAAATATGAATAAAAGGGTATTGAGATTTGAACCGTGGTAATCGGCGAGAGGGACTCAAGCATTACCAATTATTATATTTTCTAAATTTTTTTAGATTTTACATGTAAATTTACCCATATTTTAGAGTTGAGAAGGATTAAAAGTCATTTTATCGAATATTCATGAAAACCATGATAATTATTTGAATGTATTCATTAAGATATGCCATCACAAAAGATTAGCATGTTAATAAGCATATGATTTTCTTAATTAATTATGTTTAGAGTATTGGACTCCATGTGTTCCCAACTTTCCTTTTCAGATGATCACCTGATCTACGCCTCCCTAATAACATAATCCCATATATGTTTCCTCTTTTATAGCCAGCCTTTTGATAGCTTCTTTTGCTTGCCCAATAATTAAACTAATTAAGGGATGGATAGATACAGAGTTGAGGAAAATGAGGGTGATATGACGAAGCAAAGCTCAGATTTTTGTACAACTGTTTTTTTTTATAATTTTTTTTTATAAATAAGTACAACTGTTACGTATATTCTTATTGTACATTATACGGAACCAGATAGATATATACTCATCCATCCATGATTTTTAATTTTTTATTATTTTATTTAATGAATGGCAAGTCTCAACTGCCACTCCACAGAAAATATCATTTATGACACACTTATTTTATTTATTTTTTCCAGCAAGTACCCAATTCAGTCCCCATATTTTAATAATTAAAAAAATTAAGTCCCCACCTCCATTCTAGTTTAGAAAATTAGTGAGTTCCCATCTGTCATTCTGACTTATCATGAGATCGAGATCTGGAAGATCGAACGTGTATTGGGTAGAAGTTTATTAATTATGATTGTGGATAAATAAAGTTTTACTAATTAAAGAAAAGAAACAAAAAAAATGTCAATACTTTATTTTATTCATGTTTTCTTCTTCTTCATATATGTAGAAAACAGTGGTGACAAGCAAGAGTGTGGAGTACATGCCATTCTTGCTCTCCTTCTTCCTCTTCTTGAATGGTGGGATTTGGACATTCTATGCCTTCCTCACCAAAGATCTCTTCCTTGGGGTAAGTATATACATGCCTTTTCATCACTATTTATGATACATAACTTGTAGTCTATAGAGTTATGTGAAGTTTGTACAAATCTAATACATCGTATATATAAAAACAAATCGGGGAATAAATAATCCGTGTATCAATCAAATATAATACTAAAAAAATAAGAATCCACAAAAATATTCGTATTTTTTCTCATTTCTCATTTATTTTTCCTTTTTCCAATCCAGTTATGGTGTTCACCATTCAAACTTTGAATAAAAACGATGTTTTCGTTCTATGAATATAGAACGTCCAATACCTTATTCGATGACATTTGATCACATTCTCACAGATGAAGTTTGCGCACCATAGTTTAATTGGGGCTAAATTACACGTTTGGTCACTCAAATTACATAAATCTTTCACGTTTGCCACTCAAATTACTTTTCTTTCTTATTGACCACTAACTTTACGAATCATTTCACCACCAGCCACCGGCCGTCAGTCTCCGTTAGATTCCGTTAACACCGTTAAATTTTTGATGACATGGCAAACAGAAATACTGATTGGGCTGACAGATGAAATTTATTTATTATTTTCTTATAGAACCAAACCCAATCCATTCCTTCAACTCATCACCGACGGTCCTCCTTCCCCTTTTCCCCTTCTCATATGATTCCTCCATCTTTCTCGCCTTTTCTCCTCTCTCCTTCGTCTCTCCCTTCTCTTGTGGGCCTACTATCTGTCTCCCTCTTCTATCAAAAAGTTTTCCCTAGATCCGGTTATGTTTTGGAAGATTTCTCTAGACAAAGGCGTGGATTCCCGATGGAGGTTGCGACGGTCTGGAGAGGAGGCTATAGCGACTGGTCTTAGCGAGACGATGGCTGGTCCGACGACGATGGGACAACTTGGTGGTGCGGCGGACTAGTACGCTGAAGGTGGAGGAGGTTACGGCAACAAGCGACATCGGGAAGAGGAAACGACAACAAGGACGATAGAAGATAACAGTGGTCGGTCGGCCGCCTGGCAACCCCCACCATTTTTCAATTAGCGGCAACAACAACAATTTGGTATAAGGAAGGCGAATCCACTAGAGCGAGTGAGCGACTATTGCTCCAATTATCGACCCGACCCTGACGCTAATCCTCCCGCTTCGTTTCGTCCTCTGCAGATCCCGACGAGACCAAGAACGTTGAGATTGAGTGTCGGATCTGGGAAGGCGAATGAGAAACCCTTCATTTTACCCACCTTAGATTGCGACGTCGACCATCACCCAGCTTCACCTCCACTTCACCAACCTTGAGCGGCGAATCTGGGAAGGCGGAGGAGTGCTCCTCCTTAATTGATCCTCGACCACAAATTCATATGTAGGGGACGAGTTATTTTTTGTTTTTTATTTTGTTTTGCATTGTGAAGAGAAGTAGAAAAATATAAAAAAATATGACACATTTAGATTTATTTATTTATTTATTAAAATATAATTTAATATTTTTAAATTGACATGTCATTAAGTTAACGGTACAGGCAGCAGTTCTGTTTGGCACATCATCAAAAATTTAACGGTGTTAACAGAATTTAACGGAGACTGACGGCCGGTGCTGGTGGTGAAACGATTCGTAAAGTTAGTGGTCAATACGAAAGAAAAGTAATTCGGGTGGCAAACATGAAAAACTTATATAATTTCAGTGACCAAATGTGTAATTTAGCCGTTTAATTGGTATGTTTCCTACTTCTTTTTCGCCTGTAGGGGCCACTTCATCGCACCATCAATTGTCACATTTAAAATTTGTTGTTGTTGTTGTAGATCCAGCTAACTCTTTAGTCGTGTTATCATCAATAAATTTGGGACGAAAAAGGAAAGGCTGAAACACGAAAAAGGAAAGGCTGAAACAGCTTCGTTCCCCACCAAATTACGTGAAACCAAACAAAACCCTAGCTAGCTGGTACATGATATTTTGCTCTCTCTCTCTTTCCCAACTTTGGTGGTGGAGACTTGTCCACACCTGAAATGTTTTTGAGCCACAGCTCCAAATGACTGAAATGATTGATTTGAAACCTCTCTTTACAAAAAAAGACGAGCATAGTTGAAGGTAGGGCTGGGAAACGGTGCGGTCTGGTCCAGACCAGACCATATATACGGTCTACGGTCCAGACCGAGAGGCTAAAGTATAGACCACAGACCAGACCACAGACTATTCGGTCTGGTCCAGACCACGCCTGTGCGGTCTGGTTCGGTCTGGTCTGGTCCAGATAGACCACACTCAACGAAAAATGAATAATTTGTTTAGTCAACCACACAAAAAATTGAACCAATAACCAAGAAAAATAATTGTTATTTGCCTTAAAACATTAATCCTAACATGCATGAATAATTTTGATACTCTAAATCTTAGTACATAACAAAGATACAAAGTAAAAGCATCCCAGCTTGCACCATAATGTCATAAACATTAACGTAATGTCATATGGAGACACGATTATCTCTACTCTGTGGTTAAATGTGGTTGTGAATGAAGGAGGGAAGAGATTCACAAAATTAAGGTTGAGACTTGGGTGTCGTTGTGGGAGTTTGGAGATTGGTCGAATGGGCTGTTAACACGTATTGACAAGTCAGTTGGGTCTACGGTTTGGTCCGGTAAACCGCGGTCTAGACCAGACCAGACCAAGAGATCAAATCATAAAATAATACAGACCATGGACCAGACCAGACCATACTTCACGGTCCACGGTCCGGACCAAACTGTGCGGTACGGTTTGGACCACGGTTTTTCTAACGGTCTGGTCTATTTTCCCATCCCTAGTTGAAGGCATCATTAATGTGTCGTGTGCGTCCACCACAATTTTGCAAACGTGATGGAATAAATAATTACGTGATAATTATCAACACTAGATGTCTCGTCAATAACTAGTTCGTCTCAATACGATTCTCGTACTCGCGAGAATGGGGAACGCGACATTTCGGTTAATATATGTATGTATGCGTGTGCGTGTGTGCAGGTGCCGAATGGGACGGGGTTCTTGCTTGGAGCCGCACAGCTCATTCTTTACGCAATGTTCAGAAACGCTAAGCCATCCGCCTCTGGTTTAATTAACACTAATACCACTAATTATGGAAGCCTGGAAGAAGGAGGGCAGCGTGAGCCCTTTATTCCCACACCCCACCAAGAGATTCGTTAGTAATTAGAGGTTAATCTTTTTGGAAGCAGATACGGTTTAATTAATTAATTATGAGTTAATGTATGTGTGTGTATGTATGTATGTATAAGAAGGAAATGTATGAGGGAAGGTTATATGTAGAGCCTTGTTTGTTTGGTAAATGATAAAGTTTTAGTGTGTAATGCGAAGTTAAAAAATATTTGGTTGGTTTAGCTAGATGATGGAATTGGATGAGTTCATTTGAGATTGTTTGGATGGTGCATTTGTGAAATGAGGTAAGCCTGGTTTAATTGCTTCACGGTTGTCTAATCTGACAAAAAAAAAAAAAAAAATTGGCATACCTCATCTCACAATTGCACAAAGAAAACATATCATTTAACAATATTTGTCGCTTCCTTCTCTCAATATACTTGCCCCTTTCCCTCTCAATTCAAAACGTTGCAAAACGAGACAATTCAACTTATATCGTCCCAATTGTTGTGCCCCCATTTTGTGTTGTCAAATAAGACTACTCGACATAATTACTTCATTTTGAGGCAATTGGACCAAATTGTCGCATCGAATTCCAACATCCGAACGTCACAATTTTTTTTTATATTTCTCATAACTTTTTAAGGACTACAACTTTTATCATAGCTATTTTTTCTGAGTGTATGTGGATTTGTGAAAAGTAAAATCAAAGTTATACCCAAATATCCAAAAATATTTCCTGTTTTGAAAATTCCTTCCTAGTAAAACTTGCATCCTTAAAAAGTTACGCAGAATAAAAAAGTTTGTGATGACGTTCGAGTTCCGGAGCACAAAGTTATGACATTTTAAAGTTTGGCGAAATCAAAAAGTTGCTCGTTCGGCTTAGCAAATGACGTTTTTTTCGAGATGAATGCGGCGGTTGCGGCTTGCAAGATCTCAAAACGTTACGAACTTTTGAAGTTTCAGAAGAAAAAAAAATCGCAGCCAAACCACGGGATGTGGCGGTTGTTTTGTCCCGTATCGCTGAGGTGGCGCACGGTCAATCTGAACGCGGTGACCTCATATGGGTTTTAGCCGGCAAGAACGAAAACCACGGCACCTCCTTCCGGTTTTCTTATAAACCTTTAAAGAAGGCGTGATTTTAGAAAAATGATTGGTATTTTTGAAAATTTTCTAAAATGAATAATATTTTTTTTCCCCAAAAAATTCCCCTCTAGCAATTCTCATCATTCTTTGCCCCTTTGCCCCAATGGTATTGGTTTGGGCAAACTATCTGAACCCTAGGGCCTCGCTTAGTTAAGTTACAAATCAGATCCAATTGTTCAGCCCAATGTATTCCGAACCCGAACCCGAACCCGAACACGCGCCCGGACTGGCGGTTACTAGGGTTGGACATGCGGGCGGATCATCCGCGGGTTTGGGCCGACCCACCCGCATTTGACCCGAATTTCGTTAAGTGGGTGGGTCTGTGGGTGGGTGACGGGTTCCGCTGGGAGCCATCCGCCGGGTGGTGGGTGGGTTGTGGGTGAGTGTGCGGGTGACTCGCTCAACCCAACAGCAAAAAGATCAAAGTCGTTGGCGCTAGAGAGAGGAGAGTGGAGACGTTAGATATAAACTCAGACTGCTCCTGGAGTTTGAACCTCAAAGCCAACCTTCCAAATAGAGATCCCCTCTTCTTCCCTTTACTTTTTCCTCTAATTCTTGTGCCTAGATCACCGCTCTTTCCTTTTTGGAATTATTTTCCTTAGTTCCTTGCACCTAATAATCATCTCAATCTGTAGAAAACTCTTTTATAATAGAATTTCTATTCAATTTAAGAACTAATTCGACATTTTTCGCCCTATTTCAACTTCTTGTTTCCATCAATGGTTCTCTTCACCTATTATCATGTCAAGTTGACTCCTTTATATTATATACATTGTGATGTGGGTGAACCCACAAACCCACCCGCATCATCCACCATCCGCCCGACCCAACCCGAGACTAAATGTGGGTGGGTGGTGGGTTAAAAATTATCAATCCGTTTAAGCGCGGGTGAGTGCATATTATGGTCAAAATCCACCCGACCCACCCAATGTCCACCCATAGCGGTTACTATATTCAAAGTCCCATGGCATCACATTCACATCATCAGAAAGAAGTAGAGTGCTCTGTTCAGTCGCTATCGCCATTTTAGTCGTCTCATCATCTCTAGGATTCCCTCTCCTTGGGAACGACATAGTGAATGAATTCTTAATTGGTGTCGCATCACTTGATAAAACGTCTAAGTATAGCGGTTAATGAGTCGAGCTATTCGTGAGCGGCTCGGTATTTGATTCGATAAAAGCTCGTTCGATTAAAAAAAAAAGTTCGAGCTCAGCCTTATTTCACTCGCGAGGTTCATGAACTAGCTCGATTCGGTGGCTTGTTGAGTACAACTCATGAACTGTCTCGTTTTTAGCTTATGAGATGTCTCAACAGTGTGACTAGCGAGCCAACTCGACTACATCTGGTGTTTAATGTGCGAGCAAATACGTCTCATATGTGACATTAGATCAAGAAATCACATGATGTATCGCATATGACAAGTAAATAATAGGATATTTATTTAATAAATCATCTTAGAGGTGAGCTCGACCCGAACTTTCGATCTTAATGACGAGTCCGTATTTAATAAATGAGTTGGCTCGTGTTCGCCTCGACTCATTTATAAACGAACCAAACATGACACAAGGAAAAATGCGATTTAGCTCAACTCGGCTCATTAACCGCTACAATTTTAAAACAATTCGACTCAAATTAAAAAAATCATTTAAATGACCCATGTAATTACTTTACTCCTGTAGAGCCAAAATGCATATGAGGTAACCGAAAAAAAGATGAAGCTCAAGAAATTTCAACTCTGAAAGCCTCAATGGAGGAGAGAGAGCAAAACGAGCCCAATGGTGGTTTAACAATTGAGATCAACCAGTGAGTGAATGGGCTTTTCAAATTTCAACAGGCTACGTTTTCCTTCCTCCATGGGCTTGACCAAGAAAATAGACAAACGGTCTAATAGGCAAGCAAATCAGGCCGGGTTAGTAAAGATACCGTTGTCAGATAAACATGGGGCCGAGACAAAGTTCTCTTTGAACTGGATTCCAAATAACAAGTGAATTAGTTAGCTCTCTTGTTCGACTCATATGAGTTGTGTTCGCTAAATCATACCGATATCTGATCGGAAATTTTCTAACTGAAATCCAAACGGTCATTGATTTTACTGATACGAAATAATGGAATAACCGCTTATGTCTAAAGTACGTTATCACTAATTTATCTAGTACGATTTTACAATCCTGACCGATCATAAGTACACCATTGTTAGAATCACACCAATGAAACCACCAAGAGACAAAACAAAAAAAAAAAAAAGATGAAATAGAAATCATACTATTTTTTCTGTTCATTTTTTACTTCAAAGTCTCGAACCTAGATGTTATGCATGTTTTCGTCCTTACATTGCCACTAGACTAACCCTTTAGAAAAATTCTACTAATTTGGTTGAGTAATTACGTCTTTATTTTTTCAATAAGTTTTTTATTTTGGATTCCATCTAGAATTTCTTTATTTTTAAGAGCATTACACAAATAAAAGTCTTTGCAAATCCCAATCAAATCATTCTTTCATTAGATATTTTCAGCCCGAGATAGACATCCTCTAACCCTACCTTGGTCGACGATAGACTCAAATTCAATTCCAAACAAACTCGAGAAGCATGCAATTATATGATCTCTATCTCCATCACCTTTTTTATCTGGGGTCTAATAATAAGTTGTGGCTAATATAGCGCTTATCTTTCAGTCGCATTAATGAAGTAATTACAAACTAAATGGGGTTGGCAATGGCTGGCCCGTCCAATATTATTGATTTTCCATGTCTCCCCGGACAAAAATACGACCTTATACCACTTGGGTTGCATTAATTGCTCACAATAGCCACCACAACCACAACCTAATCTGGTAACCACTTTTGTAAAGACTTGCTTAAAACATCCAGAACCGTCCGATCAGGTGGGTGCTCGACAGTGGACACCTTTCGATAAAATGTTTGGCGTCTTACAGGGCGGATCTAGATTAGCAAATGATTTGTCAATTGACAAACCTTAATCCACTTTTGAGACAAAATACCTTTGTAAAGTGTTAATGTAGTGATGATGGTATTTGAAATGAAGACTATTTTGACAATCCTTGATGATTTTATGTTATAGTTGAATACTCTTGATCTAATTTTTGGGTCCGCCACTGGCGTCTTAGTTACAAAATTTACATCAAATTCTTCCGGTAGTTGACCAATGTCCATCACTTGATCAAACGACTCTAAGTACTATAAGACAAAAGATATCATAAGCACAGTGGCGGAGTCAAAATCTGAGCGAGGGCGATGGCTAAAAATTCACGTTGAATGGATTTGAACCGGGGGAAAAGGGGGCTAACCGCTAAAGTCTTACCACCTATTCTATTTTCCAAATTCGTTACAAAATTTAGACGTAAATTTACACAATTTTAAGAGTTCAGAGGTGTTGTAGCCCCTCTCGGCTATAATGAGGCTCCACCACTGATAACCACCCTAACCACACAACTAAGTAGGTCGGCAATCTTGGGGGACAATGGGCGGCCAGGGAGGAAGCGTAGTAGTCCAATTAATCCCAGCTTTGAGCATATAATATGTATCCATCTAACATCTTAATCATATCTCCTAACGTGTGCATGTCCCATAGGGGAAAATTGACCACTTAGAACTTAGAAGACAAACCAAACCCTATTTCGACTCTTCTCTAGTACGTTCTTTGACAAACTCTTATCTTCTCTTCTTTCTGTTTTTAAAATTTAGTGTATGTTATACATCGACGCAATCACATCACATTCGTTTGACTGATTTTTCTCAAGAATTCAAAATTGAATTGAACTGGTTAACATTGTGATACGAGATTTTCATAAATATGTATTACGTAGGAATCAACATTTACAATTATTCAACTTTAATACTTGATTTCATCGTAACACATCTTAATACGTATAAAATCTCCAATCACAAGGAGGAGTTGAGGACTATGGGGATATCACTGGGCTGGGTTTCCGGCCTGTGCATGATTTTTCTATCTTTCCATGCAGAAAGGTGGTAATAGGATGAGGACAAATAACAAGTCATGGGCCGGGGACGGCCGAGAAGATCTGACTTGGGTCGGCCCATGAAAGAAAATATATTAGCGTAATTGATTAATTAACGGTCAGAAAATAGATCCAACTAGCTTTAATAATTGGGGAAATTACACCATAATGGGTGGAAACAAGTGGTGATTATTTAGCATACCCACTCTATGTGGGTTTTTTTGTCCTCTTCTGTGTGTACATATAATCCCAAAATTGTTTATTATAAGAAAATAGTACAATATTG